ATACGCCAAAAACGCGTGGGCAAGGAAAACTAGAGCGGCATGCCAAACGCGTGCTAACCTGGCCTGGACGCGCCAAGTGCGTGCCGAGCGGACGGAGGGAAAAAGAAGGAGGAAGATGATGAACATACGATTGCACGCCAATTGCGGGCCCAAGTGGCCTCGACGCGCCAAATGCGCGCCGTAAAGGCGGAAGGAGGAGGAGGAGGCGGAGGAGGAAGATGATGGTGTATTTGTGTCCTGCCAAGACGCACAAGCCATGCACTGCATATCATAGTACTCGTCTTCTCCGCATTCAATTGGCCTGGAAACTTGCTAACGCGTCTCATTTTTTGTTGTCTAGCAAAGTGTCCATTAAAGCTTCAGAACTAGGAAAACAAGGAGAAATAAATGATAACAATCCTGCTGCCCATTGTCTTTTTGGTCTCCCCCGCGCACGTTTGCAAAGTAGCGTAACCGGCTTGAGGCCATCAAATTGAAACGTTGCGGCACGCAGCGCATGAGAATTTGGGCTCCGGCCAATCTTCCCAAATAGCTGAAGTTGTTGTTGCAATAACTGCGATGTGTAAGGCAATTGTTGGCTTCTCTCCAGAACGATCTTGTTTGACACTTTGGATATGAACGAATGGGCGATATTCAATATTTTCCTGAGGCACTTTGCTTGGAAACTGTCCAATCGTCGTTTCTCGGCTTTCATGAACCATGCCGAGCTGAGGGAATACAAGACTTTGCTTATGAGATTTACAGCGGGGCAGGGAAATGTATGCACTTATGCGCAAGTATGTGTTTTATGTTTGTGTCCGGAATAATCCCTCGGTGAACATTTGCGCCTATTCTCCTATGGTGACGATATAGTATACGTATACATATTATTGCGAGAAGTCCTTTGTGATATATTATTTGGGATATCGCCGTTCGAAAAAATTAATGTTAGCCCAAATGTCACCGTATTGTCTTTCTTGTTCGTTTTTGTCTTAGAAAATGTAGAGCAAATTTTTGACCAAACATTTGCGTATAGATATTTTTGGATTTGGTAATATTATTCGGAACGTTGATTGTATTTTCCTATGATTTTTTGTAACAATATGAGATATGCTTAATTTCCAAATGTTCCGACGCAAATTATGACAAAACTCGAATTATTCTATAATTTCACCGACCTCAGATCGCAAAGAGCTCCATGGATACGTGATTGCTGCAAATACAAAACAATGGTAATCATTGCAAAGGCTCTACAACCTATGTTTTCCGAATTCCGCCATTATTTCAGAGTAAATCAACAGTAATGCTTGCATGATTTTACAGAATGCTTACATTCCATCTTTACTGGGGCTCATTTGCATGCATCTTAAGTACTAGTAGTCCATCCCGTAGCGCCGTTTAGTCAGATGCTTTCTGCGGTAAGAAGGCAAATGATAATTACAATGGACGAGACGTTTTTCCTTGAATTCGTTCGAACAAAAAAACGCCATCGGTTGGGGCATGCAAGATCGAAACCGCGATCGGTTGGGTCGACTTTCAATATTCTTTATGCGGGTTATGCTCCCGAGCGGGTGCCTCGATCGGTATCTCCCTCTGATCAATACTCGCAAAATGGCTCCCGAAGGCGTTCTAATTTTTTTCAGAGATCTTCAAAAGAAACTCAAAGAAAAACATCTAAACAACCTATGCAAATCCCCCAAAAACAATAACAATGCACCCGAACGGTCTCAAATAGCCGAAAATGGCCCCCCAAATGGTTGAGATAGCCCAGACTGGCTCAACATGGTTCCGAAAACGTTCCAAACAATGCCGCCGCAATGATGTTCAAAAACGTCCCCCCAAAAAAGAACCCAAGAACCACATCCTTGCTCGTTTTCTTTCCCTAAACATTTCTTCGTTCCTTACCCCAATATCTGAAAAACCAAGGCTTCTGAATAGACTGGTGGGGATACGCGAGCCGTGACAATTCACTTTGTCCGCCCTCACTGTGTGTCCATGTTCTGCTATTCTTGGGCCATTCCCGCCGATAAGAATAGAAATTATTCGTGCACAAAATTAAGGCGCATCGTATTGATGATATCCACGTTCGCGGCCTGGAACCAATTGAGGCGATTACTACGACGCCGTATGGAAAAAAATGGTTTGCTCTACGGAAAACAATTTGTGTTCTGCTTCATGGCCGCGTGTCATACAAAATTAATTCATCATTCCTCGTCTGAAGTACCGTCAAAAACAACACATCCCGCAAACGTCCCAACGGAAACCTGCCAAACAACATGGTCGCAAAACATTGGGAAAACCGTAGCGCATGACACTTTGATATTATATAGATACACGTACATGCATATATGCATACATACATGCATATGTGCGTGTATGTATATATATATATATGCTCACGCCATCCTCAAGGGAATGCTTCAAGACAACATGCGGATGCACGACGGTGCAATTTCTGTCAGGTGATTGCATATACATGTGAAAATCCGGTAGAATGTTGCTCCCGTTGGCCGAATGAAACGCATGTGCCTCCCATGACGATTCGCCGTAATATAAAGGAATGCAGAAAAATGCCGTGCATTCGGAATATTGCGGTCTAGTGTTTTATCGATCGAACACTATATGCATGATGCACAACTCGGTGTTCGGTAACATTAGACGCCTGTACCGATTTGTTTTGATTATACCGGCCACGGCAATAACTATATCTCAAAACGAGCAGATCCAAACTCAACCGATAATTGAGGGACCACCTCAGGTAATTCTTCCATTTTCCGTTGCTGTGTGATGTTCTATTGGATGTATGCCGCCTGCCGCATAGCGAACTGCAGCCCAAGAAAACAGAACTGCAACCCCTGTGGTTTCCCGTTTATGACAAACATGTGGCGTTGTGCATGCCCGTGCGTTGGCATCCGATGTCAAATGCCACGCCAGATAACCTTCGCACCCGAAGTCGGCGAGATAGATAACCCATGCAACGTCGATTCGAAGACAGAATCGAACGCCCCACCAATGCTTAAGCCATTCGCGACGTGGTCAAGCCTGTTTCGCCTGAGATATCCTCGTAACTCTGCGTTCCGGGATGCTACGCGCGAAAAAGTCCGGCGCATGTCGTCTAAGACATCGCAACACCGAGTTCCGAGATGCAACGGGGAAGTTGGTCCAGCTCGTTTCTCCTGAGACAACCTTGCAAGCTCCGAAATGCTGCGCGCGAAATGGTGCGGCGCGTTTCGCTTGAGACATCCTCGCTACTCTGGGCTCCAGCTCCGACCTGCTGCGCGCGACGTGGTCTTGCGCGTTTTCCCTGAGACATCCTCGCAAATCTGAATTCTGTAATGCCGCGCGCGAGGTGGTCCAGCTCGTTTCTCTTGAGACAACCTTGCAAACCGCGCGAGAGGTGGTCTGGCGCGTTTCGTCTCGGCATTTCTGGCCGCCTTGGGGTTCCCTGGGCCGGCCCAGACTGCAAACGCAATCCAAAACAGAGGCTCTTCAACAACTTCAGCGTTCTCACCTAATCGGTCTGCAGATTGCCCTCTACAGCCCCAGAAGCTCCCATGAGCGTCTCAAGACGGCTACGGAACCCAGAGGCAGGTAGGGGAGAGTGGTGCTTTCGACGTGTGTTGCGTGCTTCTGCTGGGTCGTATGTGTGTGTGTGTGTGTGTGTGTGTGTGCGTGTGCGTGTGCGTGTGTGTGTGTGTGTGTGTGTGTGTGTGTGTGTGTGTGTGTGTGTCTGTGTGTCTGTGTGTCGCATGCGCCCGCGGCCAGCTTGAATTTTGTCGTGGTTTTATGGCTCGAGCGCGCGTTTTTCTTCGCGCTACTCGCACCCGCGCGGCGTTTCGTCGTGCTCGTTGCTTGCCAGGCGGCGGCGCTTATCTTGCCTGTGCCTGTTTCGCGCTGCCACTGGCGGGCTGGTCTGGCATCCCCTGGGAGGGCCAATTTTTGACACCACTCACAAGGATCGTGGCCCCTCTTTGACCGATCGCCTCCAAGGTGGCCCCAAGAGGCCCTCCAGGGCTCCCGAGAGGCCTCCAAGAGGGCTCCATGAGCGCCCCAAGAGGCCCCAAGAGGGCTCAAAGAGGCACCCAAGAGGCACCCAAGAGGCCCCCGAGCGGCCTCAGAGAGCCCAAGGTGACCTGCAAGATGGCTCAGATAGCCCAAACTGGCTCAAGATGGCTCCCAAGATGCTTAAAACAGCCCCAATACCGCTCCAAGACGGCTCGAGATGGCCACCGAGCCTCCCAAGCCTCCCTCGCTGTTTGACTATGCGTGTCTCTTCCTCTCGCCCCCCGTCAACTCTCATGAACATCGTTTCTGGACGGGCTGGTGGGGATACGCGAAGAGACTGCTGTCCGCGATTCAACTCCTGGCGTCGAGCTACGCTCCGCGGGATGCTTGGCCTCTGCACTCTGGCTTTGCAGTGCCTCATCTCTTCGCCACATCACGGCGGGGTCGACTACATTCGTTCGCAATTGGCACCTCCATCTGCCGACCGCGCCTGAGGATCCTCTGCGCCGCCGATGTTTTTTTTTTTTTTTTTTTTTTTTTGTTTTGTTAATGTGTGTCGCGTGCTCGGTTCTGCTGCTTTCGACTTACTCCGCCTCGCCGCTGCGCGCGAGACCACGACCGCCAAAAAGAGCGTGTGTGTGTGTGTGCATCTTTGTTCGGGTCATTTGAAGGAACTCTTGGGGGCTAGGACGCGTCCTTCAGGACCTGGGAGTCCACAGGTACTTTCCAGCGGCAGCCTTGTGAACAAACTACTTTGTTGTCGGGAGCCGATAGAACGCCAAAAGTTGGTGCTACCTCCACTTGCAGCAATTTCTATGCTTGTATGCCATGTTTCCTTGACGTGTACGTCAATACGCGTTCGAATAAGCACAAGTGTTTGATATTCGCACGACTGGACACTTCACAAAATTCCTTTCAAGAATCCTGGGTCGACTGCGTGATTGGAAACGTACCTCGACAATGCCAACTCTCTCGTGCCCTCTCCTGCCCCCCTTGGCATTGTGCCCCTCTGACGTGCTCCTCTGCCGATGCATGCTTATGCTGCCAAGTCCCTGCTCATCCGATCTTCGCATGCGCTGGCCACCTTTTGGCATGGGGTGGGCCTTTTCTACTCGCAGTTCAACCGCCCGCAACACACCTTTGATGGAGAGAATCGTCGTAGCTGCTTTCATGCCCTTTGACGACGTAAGCGGTCGTCAACAGCGTGTCCATGAACATCCGGTTCTCGCTTCCGTGCTTGCGCATGCACTGATGGAGCGGCACGTGCTCGCAGTCGTACGCTGCTGGGTCATAGCGGCACCGGAACAGCGCCTCTGGCCTGTAGAGGGCCAGCCCTCCGAAGCACGAGTGCACCGGGACCAAGTCGTAGCTGGCCCACAGCTTCATGCCCTGCTCTTTATCCATGGGGCACTCCCCTGCATTGAACGTGTCGTTCTTCTTTGTTCGGAAAGCGAAGCAATCGAACATGCCGTACGGCACGTCTTCGTTCTCCGTCTTGTAGATGCTGTTGGCGCACACCATGTCCCACTCGTGCCTCGTAGTCTCTCGGCGGCCCAGTAGTGAGAAGAACGACTGTGACGAGATAGCGAACGGCCCATATCTCCGCCAGCCGTCGTCTCCGACCAGTACTCCCCCATCCCTGGCCATCGCTCGGACGTCCATTCCCTGTGTTTTTTTCGGCTTCGTGCGTGGTGTTTTCGCGAAGTGATCAAGGATGTTCCTCGATGGCCCTCGCCGAAGGAAAAATGCACACGTCCGAGCGATGCCAAGATCCTCCTCCACTCCTCCAAGCTCCAGGTGCCGATGTCCACCCGGGGGTCGAGGCTCCAGTATTGGCGGGGGCGGTCTCGAGAAGGAAGACTGGGAGGTGGAGGAGGGCGGCGAGGGGGAGGAGAGGCGAGCGAGCAAACATGCCATGCAAACAGAATCCGGCACGCTCTGGGGGAACGAATGCCATCTGGCATAATTACTCGAAGTGCTTGACCCATATACCGAAATTCGAATCGATTCTCATCACTTGGAAACGTGGGCGACTCAACCAACACATCTTCGCGGTGTCCAGGTATGCTTCCGCACAGCGGCATCGATAAAAATATCGAAGTCGATCATGACGATCAAGTCCCAACCAGAACTCTGGTGCACAAATTCTCCGATCCAATCGAGCAACCTGTTCCGCAACGTAGCCATGCGTTGAAAACGGGCTGGCTCAGTGCCCCTATCGTTGCGCAGCATTGGGTTCTCAGATTTGTACTCGAACTTGGGGTCTCTCTTGTTAGTTACTCGTAGCCAATGCTTCGTTTGGTCCACGGAGTCGTTCTCCAAGATGAAAAAATGATAGTCTTTGAAATGACGGAAAATAATTCGAAGAGCAGTGTAAGCGGGGATAACCGATGCTGCGGCATCGCGAACGAGTCCAGCAAACACGATCTTCGTCTCCGCTGCCAGCTTCCTGGGGCCACATCACGCCAACACTCACATCCACAGATATTTTTGGAATCGGTTGGGCCAACGTGTGGCCCGACTGAGATAAACTGCGTAGTTGCGGGGGAAATGGCTTGTAGGCGATCGGACTTCCTGAAGATATTCGAAGGACCCAACGATAGAAAAAACAAAAAGCGATTCGATCGGAACTGCAGACAATGGGAACGGTCAGGTGGAACGACGACGGGAAACAGGTAATTGCAAGACGTGGGGTTGGGAGGGGAAGGGGGAATCGGGGAGCGGGGGCGGACAGAGGGAGAAACACATTCAGAGCGATGTGAAGACAATGGGGCGATTGAAGAGCCGACAGGTAGAGAGCGGTGTGGCAACCAGAAAGGCGATTGATTGCAAATAAACAGCTACAGCCAATCATATACAGAACAATGCGTGCGCCTGGTGGTGGGGGGGGTCGGGCCCAACGTCAGTTTCGATTCCGGATCTCTACCTCCACAATTGCGCGACTAAATCTGGGACTGAGCGGGTGCACATGCGCATACCGTTGCAAACAGAAATCCCGTGATTTCGAAATGCATCGTGAAACTAATTCGACTGCAGCCGGCGTTTTGTTTTGGGTTTTCATTTTGAAGGCAATTCCCAAGAATCCATCTCTGGTGCAACTATTCTGCTTGTCGAAGCGTTCACGCACCCCGATTCAAATCCACACACCGTCTTTGCCAGGTGCGGCAACGCTGCTCCAGATCACCTGCGAGGCGCATAATTAGGAGATGCTGACAGGGAAGCAACAAGGATGCTCTGCGGGTCGACTGGCCACTGCAGACGAAAATTGCACAAAACGTATAACGCGTCCGCTGTCCGCTGTCGGGCAAGCGACGCTCGTCCCAAATTGTCAACATCCGTGCTGACTGTCCCCTTCCAACTCCCGCGCCTGCTACGCGGGATCCACTTCTGGGCCCCATGCCCACCAGCGAGAAGACGGACTCTGCGTGACCAGCGCCAGAGTTGGAGGTGTTGAGCCTCCAGATGCTCATTGAGAATTTCGGAGTCTCTATGGAGCCGCGTCTCGGCTCGCGTCTTCATCGAACGTGCCAGTGGAAGCCATGGCTGGCTTGCTTTTTCTCTCAACAGACGCCGCTGCCGGGGCGGACTCCAGCCAGCCGGTGCCCACGAGGCGGTACGGGCCCCTTGTGCATGCGCTTGTTCCTCGCGAGCGCGGCTCCTCGCAACCTCAACCCTCGAACCTCGGTTGCCACACATCAGCTCAAATTTAGGTCACCGGACCGCTCCAAGGGTCCATCCTGCCTCTCATCTTCTTCACCTCGAACCGATTTGAGATGGCCCGGGGCCTGAAACGCCCCCGACAACCCCCCAGATGCCGAAGTCGAAGCAAAAACTCCACGGCACACGTTTTTTTTCCAAAGCACCCTGTGGTGTTGGGTCCTCGTTCTGAAGGAACAGAGCCCCGCGTCACCCTACTCCCGCCTTCATCATCAAGATCACCGTCATAATCACCACCATCATGACCAGCGTCGTCGTCGTCGTCATCATCATCACCATCACCATCACCATCATCACCAACACCATCATCATCACCATCAGTATTATCATCAACGCCTTCATCATCATCACGATCATCATCATCATCGACATCATCACCACCATCACCCCCACCATCATCATCATCACCATCATCATCACCATCATCATCATCAACAGCATCATCATACTCACATTCAAAATCATAATCATCAGCATCATCATCATCGACACCATCTTCACATTCATCTTCATCTTCAACAGCATCCTCATGATATCATGTTCATCATCATCATCATCGTAATAGTCATCATCACCACCATCATCATCAGTTCACCATCACCATCAGGACCATCACCACCACCACCACCATCATCATCATCATCACAACCACAACCACCATCATCATCACCAGCATCATCCAAATCATCAACATCCACAGCATCATCATCATCATCATCAGCATCAACATCATCATCATCATCATCATCATCATCATCATCATCATCATCATCATCATCATCATCATCATCATCATTACCATTGAGAGAGCGTGTTCTACCACTGCTGGCGGAAAACCGGTGGGGGTCACTACCGGTTCGAACCCCTCCCCCCCCCCCTCCGGAAAACCGGGGGGGGTCACTACCGGTTCGAACCCCTCCCCCCCCCCCAGTTCATCATGAAAAGGGGGGGGGGTCACTACCGGTTCGAACCCCCCCCCCCCTCTCGAAAACCGGGGGGGGTCACTACCGGTTCGAACCCCCCCCCCTCGAAAACCGAGGGGGGGTGCGGACAGTGGTGGGGACGGTGGTGGTGGGGACAGTGGTGAGGGGACAGCGGGACAGTGGTGGGGACAGTGGGACAGTGGTGGGGACGGTAGTGGTGGAACAGTGGTGAGGACAATTGGGCTTTAGGACAGTGGGAATGAGGTGGAAACAGTGGGACAGTGGAGGGTACAGTGGTGGTGGGGACAGTGGTGAAGGCGGTGGCGAGGACGGCGGTGGGACAATGGGACAGAGGTACAGTGGGGACAGTGGTGGGGACAGTGGGGTCAGTGGTGGGTGGGAACAGTAGCTCAGTGGGGCGGCGGAGGAGTCACTGTGACAGTGCGGACAGTGGGGATAGTCGGGCAATGGTTGGGGCCGTGGTGGGGAGAGCGGAACCGTGGTGGGAACAGTGGTGGGGGCACTAGTGGGGACAGTAGGGACGGTGGTGGAACCAATAGGGACAGTGGTGGTGAGGACAGTGGCACTGGGAACAACAGTGGGGGATGTGCCTGAAGGCCCTCGGCCTTACGAATTGTTAGCAGCAGTTGTAAGTAAGTTATAAGTAAGTTGCAACTAGGTTGCAAGTAAGTTAGGTGGAAGGTGTGAAATGCGACAAACGTCGCAGGACGGTGTTCATGGTGGTCGACGGCAAGCGTCTGCAGGAGCGAGTGGACGATTGGACTCCCACGTACATCAACAACGCAGCCCGATCCCTTCGTGATCGCTTAGATAACGAGGCACGTGATGAGGCTGAAGCTGATGGGTCGGAAGAGTACTATGACCCGCCAGTCGCAGCAGGCGATGGCTCGCCACCAGGCGATGGCTCGCCACCAGGCGATGGCTCGCCACCAGGCGATGGTTCGCCAGGCGATGGTTCGCCGCCAGGTGATGGTTCGCCAGGCGATGGTTCGCCACCAGGTGATGGGCCGCCCTCTTTTTTCACTCGCCGACGGGAGATGCGCCATACGACGCTTAGCTTCCAGTAGCTCCACTCCCTCTTCGCCTTCCCACCTCCACTTCCCTCTCCCTCCAATCTCTATTCTATTTTTGCCTCGCGTGCTCAGTCCGAATCTGGCCCCGCTGGCGGCGGGGACTCAGTAACAGAACTCAGTTCAAGATGCGGAGGGCCATCGTCGCGCATGCCGCTGTTCGGCACATCGGCGTCCCTGCCCATGCTCATGCATCCGTCGTGGTCCGCGTCGTCGAGCAGGCCATGACCGTTCATGTCGCCCTTGCCCTCGTCGGAGCCCTTGCCACCGTCGTAGCCCCCGCCGCTGTCGAGGGCCGTCGCCTTGCCCTTACCACCGTCGTTAATGCTCTTGCCACCGTTGTAGCCCTCGCCATCGTCGTAGCCCTTGCCACCGTCGTAGACCTTGTCACCGTCGGTGCTGCCCTTGCTACCATCGTAGCCCTTGCCACCGTCGTAGTAGCCCATGGCCTCGTCGTCGATGCCCGTGCCACCGTCGTAGATTGTACAGCCGCGACCGATGCCATCAGCACCCTTGCCATCGTCGTAGCCCTTTTCGTAGCCCTTGTCGTAGCCCTTGTCGTAGCCATTGACGTAGCCCGTGTCGTAGACCGTGTCGTAGCCCTTGCTCGGGCTGCCGTACGGGTCGTAGCCTTTGTCGCTGCCCTTGCCGCCGTCGTAGCCCTTGTCGAAGCCCTTGCTCGAGCTGCCCTTGGCGCTGCCCGTGCCACCGTCGCCCTTGTCGTCGGCCTTGCCGCTGTCCGACATCATGTCCTGCAGCCCGTCACGCTGCTCCTTCGCCAGCCTGATGTGGCCCTTGCCGCTGTCGCCGTCCTTGTCGCGGCCCTTGCCGCTGCCGTCCTTCTCGCGGCCCTTGCCACTGTCGTAGCCCTTGCCCTTGCCACCGTCGTGGCCCTTGCCTTTGCCATCGTCGTAGCCCTTGCCATCACTGTCGTAGCCCTTGTCGTAGCCCTTGTCGTAGCCTTTGTCGTAGCCCTTGTCGTAGCCTTTGTCGTAGCCCTTGTCGTAGCCTTTGTCGTAGCCCTTGCCATCGCCGTCGCAGCCCCTAATCAAGAGCTCGGTGATGTCGAGAAGCCTATCTGTCAGCCGCCGCTCCCGCTGGAGCTCCTGTATGGAGGGCGAAAATCCGCCGACCTCCCTCCTCCTCCTCCTCCTCCTCCTCCCCCTCCTCCTCCTCTTCCTCCTATTCCTTCTCCTCCTCCTCTTCCTCCTCACCATCCTCGTCTTCCTCCTCGTCCTCCTCATCCCCCCTCATCCTTCTCCTGTGGCTCTCACCCCAGCAGTCCTCTTGCAGGCGGCGCAGCGCCTCCGCGGAGGCGCTGCCATGGCGGCGCGGGCGGCGCGCGCGGCCACCCGCGCGCGGCCACGCCCCCCTGGGAGGAGAAAGGGGTCCTCCAGGGGGCCTCGGTCCAGAAACAGCAGCGCGCGCAAATGGGGGGAGGGGGGGGGGGGGGTGCGATTCAGGTGAGGGGGCGATTCGGGTGAGGGGGCGTGGCTGCGTCGCGAATCGTTTCGCGCTGTGCACTCATGGGTGCATGCAGCAATGCATGCGTTGTTGCAGAGTTTACTTGGGGATGTGAACTTGAAAATGAGATGCGTTAACATCGTCGTCTGCGTTCGCTCGAGACAGCCTCACAATTAACTCAGCATCGCACGACCTCACAATGGACCCAGTACCGCGAACCATGATGTTGATGCTACGCTATGATGTGAATATCCCTCCCCGACCTCATCCTCCTCCGCTGCCGCCGCCGTTTAGGCCCGAGCGTCGCTTGGGTCGCGACAGTGCGCGACCAGCTGCAGCGCTCCACGCGCAGCAGCTACCAGCGCCCCGCGCGCAGCAGCACCAGCTGCAGCAGCACCGCCAGTGCATCCAGCAGCTCCACGCGCAGCAGCACCAGCTGCAGCAGCGCCACCAATGCAACCAGCAGCACCACCCGCAGCAGC